GGCTTTTGAGGGGGACGGCAGAGAGACTTGTGTGGCCCGGAAGGGAGGGCAGGGTCGTTGCATATCTTAGCAAATCTCCCGTGGAGAAGGACAGCTTCCTACCGTCTCAGGTGGCGAGCTTTTGGATCCGTTGTCACGGGAGGCTTGTTGGAGAGATCGTAATCCTTCGAGCTGGCCGTCTTTTTCTGCTGCAACAAGCTTGATCCTTCCTGAGCCTACTTCCTGCTCGACGAAATTCCCCTGCTTTCCCACCTCTTCCGAGTCTTGCTCTGATGGCTTCGGCCGTTAGCTTGTGTTGAGTCTGGTCCTCTGTTTGCGGCCAGTGCTTTGCTGTCGACGCCTGCATCGAGTGGGCGATGGCGCCTTTGATGGCCAACGTAGTGCAAGACGAAGGGTCGTCCTCGGTGACCTCGTCCCCTCTCAAGACCTTCTCCCTGATGTCTCTCTCCCCTCCCTCCCTGTCGCCCTACTCACCGTGGCTCCGCGAGCTTAAGTCCGACGAGCGCGGCCTCTGCCTCATCCACCTCCTCCTCAACTGCGCCAACCACGTCGCCGCCGGCAGCATCGACCGCGCCAACGCCTTCCTGGAGCAGATCGCCCTGCTTGCCGCCCCCGATGGCGACGCCATGCAACGCATCGCCTCGCACTTCACCGAGGCCCTCGCCCGCCGCGCCCTCCGCCTCTGGCCGGGCCTCTACCACGCCCTCGACTCCACCCGCGCCGTCGTCCTGCCTCTCGCGGAGGCCGCCGCGGCCCGCCGCCATTTCCTCGACCTCTGCCCCTTCCTCCGCCTGTCGTATGTTGTCTCCAACCAGGCGATCATGGAGGCGATGGAGGGCGAGAGGGTGGTCCACGTCGTCGACCTCAACGCGTCGGACCCCACCCAGTGGATCTCCCTCCTCCAAGGGCTACGGGCACGGCCGGAGGGCCCGCCGCACTTGAAGATCACCGGCGTGCACGAGCACAAGGAGCTGCTCAACCACACGGCCGCGCGCCTTTCGGATGAGGCCGAGCGGCTCGACATCCCGTTCCAATTCAACGCCGTGGTGAGCAGGCTTGACAACCTCGACGTCGAGAGCCTCCGCGTCAAGACCGGGGAGGCGTTGGCCATCAGCACAGTCCTCCAGCTGCATTCCTTGCTCGCAAGCAACGACGGCGCCGGCGACCCGCGGCAGGCACAAAGAACTGCGCCAGTCAGCCAGCTGACCTTAGGGGATTACTTCGAGAAGGACCACGCCGCGAACGGATACAGCCCGAGCACGGAGTCGGCGCTGTCATCGCCGTTCGCACCGGCATCGTCGCCGGCGAGGATGGAGAGCTTCCTGGCGTTGCTGTGGGGTCTGTCGCCCAAGATCATGGTGGTGACGGAGCAGGAGTCCAACCACAACGTGCCGGCGCTGAACGAGCGGTTCGTGGAGGCTCTCTTCTACTACGCCGCCCTGTTCGACTGCCTGGACTCGACGGTGCCGAGGCAGTCCGTCGAGCGGCTGCGGGTGGAGAAGATGCTGTTGGGTGAGGAGATCAAGAACATCATCGCGTGCGAGGGGTGGGAGAGGAAGGAGCGGCACGAGAAGCTGGAGAGGTGGGCGCAAAGGATGGACATGGCCGGGTTCGGACCGCTGCCTCTCAGCTACTACGGCCTCCTGCAAGCGAGGAGGCTGCTGCAGAGCTTCGGCTGCGAGGGTTACAAGGTGAAGGAGGAGAACGGGTGCTTCCTGTTGTGCTGGCAGGAGCGACCGCTCTTCTCCATTGCAGCATGGAGGTGCAAACGCTACGATTGACTTTGTTTCCTCATTTCTTCTTCTTCTTCTTCTTCTTCTTGTTTAGTGTTCCCTATCCATTTCCTCCAGAAATGTTGTACATGTATATGATCTTTTTGGCCCTCTTCAATGCACAACTGTTTGGGAAACAGGATGTGTATGTGCTGCATCAAATTTTGTTCTTCCTCTGTTTTTGTTTCGGGGTTTCCCAACGGAGTTTGGACTCTATTTTTCCACCAATTCTCAATATCACATGAATTGGAGTAATGCTTTTGATTCATCTTTACTTCTTTTTGTTGTCAAAATTAAAGAAACGTTGTAGAACGAGACACAGTATGTATCTAAATCAACAAAGCTACATGGATTATGCATCCATAAATTAGCAGATTGGTAACCAAATAGGTGCTATCAAAGGGATATAAACCACTACTCTTCCAGCATGACTTGGGAGTTCAAGTGGACTCCAACTTGGGAGATTTCCAAGACAACACGAACTTTTAAGCATCAAAGTTCGTTGACGTACGGCAAATTAAAAGGACTTAAAAAGATCCCAAATTATTATTCGGACCACAACGTCATATGGGAACTCGAAAAGTTGCCCAACTCAAGACTCATTTAGCTTTCCGATGACACTCTATTTTGCCAGTTCTGAGCTTAATTTACCTTGGATTCTGCCAGCATCTTCTCTTTATTACAAAATCTTAATTAAGATTTGATGGATACAAGTGTTTTTGCATTTCTACAAAGTTGAAACAATGTCAAGATTAGCATGCCAATCTTGTCATCAAAATTAATCAAACGCAGTTAAACTATGCTGACGGATGACATCTAAAGTAATGTAATGGAGGATTTGAGATGATTTCATGCGGGAATTCCCTAGTTCTTGTGCCTTTGAGATGAACTATTATGATGGAATTATCCCGAACCAGTTCATCATCATTGCTAATAAATATATTTTGTTGATTCTCTAAATTTTTTGTTAGCGTCAATCTTGAGCTCCCTCGAGAATTTTCATCTCTAGGAAATTACGATCTTTGCTAGCGGAGGTTATCTGCTTTACCCTTGCGAATGTTGTGATAGTTTGCACGCTTGAAAGCATAGATCTTATGGCGACTGAGTGAAGGCATTCGAGACTCGCAGCAGTCGCCTATCTCTCCGTCCAGTGTTTGTATGGTGAAGTAGGCGATCTCCCAGTTCTTGCAGCAAGTTCTCATTCGTGAGTAGCGCAGGTGGAGTTGCCTTTGAAGGATGCTATTTAGTTGGTATTGTATTGCCAATTCGATGGGATCTTTGAATTCCAGTCGAACTACTATCACTTTCTAGACTCCTACCCCTCACTTTTAACTTGAGAGCCATGATGCTTCTTGAAGCTTCATGATATTTTCTCAGCAGCAGAGTAAGCAGTATCGGAGAAATACTGCTGCTGATCTGAAGAAGAAGAAGAAGAAGAAGAAGAAGAAGAAGCCTTCTACTTAAAGAAGAAGGAAGCAAACATCTCTATGGGGACTTATCCAGCAGCAGCATCAAGACTGAACTCTGCTGCTTCATCCTCCAAGTGAGAAAGCAAGGGTTGGGTGTGGATGCAAAGCGCAGCCTGGGGCATCCTTGATCGCATCTGAAACCACTCTCCAGAGTGAGAAAGGAACCTGCCATTTTCCACAGGTTAGAACTGCTCCACAAAGTGACATGCATATCAATTGCTGAAGGGTCCCATGCAGCTTGGAGAGACTGTGTGATGAGGAACTTTCTGAGACAAATAGGTACCCCACACAGTAAGCAGACTTCATCTTGTTGTTTTCATACTCTCGCTTCTGCTAACCCTTTCTTAATTATCAGCTTCTGCTTATACTTCCTTTCACATCTACTTATCAGTATGATTGATAGCACAAGATTTGGTACCTGAAACAGTCGGTGCCACACATCATGTGCCACACATCTTGTTGTTTCTTCAGTGTTCGACTCATTTTTAAGTGGTGCAGATCATAACCTGCAACTTTTCACATATGTTTCTGAAGGCATATTTCCTATATCCAAATTTTTTAGGATTTATCATCCTAAAAAATCTCGAGTTTTGGATGGATTAGCAGCATCAATCCTTGCAATCTGCAATGTATGTTATGAGACTTTAGCATGTGCAGATAATGGAAGATGCAGCTCCTGTATCTTGGCTGAGTGACCCATATACTACTATGCTAATTAATATACCTCAAGTCCAGTGATTAGAACATATGTAAGAAAGGCAAACTGAAATAGAACTCATTTCACAACATGATTTCGGATATGAACAAAGAAAAACCATAATGAAATGCTACTACAAATAGATAAGACATGCCATTTAAAATCCACATTTGAACTGTAAAAAGTATATGACTATCTAATAGTTAAGACAGTGCTTGAAGGCAGTCTTCTCTGCCCACCTTCTCCACTGGGTTATCTGACTTTTGTTCTCTCTCGTTACCATCAAACCCTAAGTCGTAGGTTTCACAAGAGGAAAAAGAAGAAAGTTGGCAGACTTGAGGCCCTAAGTTTGAAGTATACCACTCTTCAGTTTTTCCTGTGTATACATTGAATTTATGACCACTCGGGAGTCATATTATCTGCATGCGGTGACCATATTACATGCAATACAGTTCATATTCTAGAATTTATATTGTTATCTAATGGTGAGGACTCGTATTGTTAACCACTTTAGGTTTTGGCACTGGTTGATCTAAGATGATTCTGTGATCTCTAGTCAAGCATTTTGTGGAATCGCAGTACATGATATCCAGCTTCAAGCTTCGTCAATGGAGTTTTGCGTGATGCTGACACGGTAGGTCTACAAGACTTAGACTCGTACACATGACGCATGGTGGCATCCTTAGAGGTGGCAAATCAACTAACCTAAAAGGTATAGAATTACGACTCCAATAGTGACTAAAAAGACGAAGAAGTTATTCTGTGGCCAAGTACCAACTTTTCTTGATGGATTATTGCTTGCTCCCAACTGCTGGATCATTGCGTGGTGATAAAGATATGGACTACAAGCTTAGAATTTCCAACCCAAGTTATAGGAAGAGGACTCTTCCGAGTTCGTAAGCATCAAATTCTACTCGGTGAGGAGATTATAATTGTGTTGCATGCAACTTTCCTCTTTCATGGAATTCTGTGCATCTAAGCTTATAATGTCAAGCACACGAAGCTAGCCTTTCCAGATTGTTCCACTGGTCTAGAATATGGATTTAGTCCAAATCGCATCAACATAATTGCTGCAGAGAATCTTATTCTTTAGAGGGAAACAGTAATCGTTCATCGCTAAAAGCAATGCAAATACAAATCATCTATCTCTCATCATCAGACGACCGGATTATTAATCAGCAGTGTACATGGGTTTCAGAACCGTGAATCATAGCCAGTGGGGTTCATCCCAAACTAAGCCCTGGCTGATCTCATCGAGGAAGTCAGCATCGCTCTGAAACATGCAAGGGCTGGCAGCGAGGGCGTCATCGACGGACTGAGGCGTGCAGTCTTGCTGTGTTCGAGCCATTTCCATGCAGATTAATGCGAGCAGGTTCCCGTGCTGGGCTTGCAGGTTGGTGAGCTCGGCTTTCGCCCGTGCCAGCTGCGCTTGGAGCTCATCCACCTGCTTCTGAAGCTGGCATACGGCACCGGTGCACCCGTACACCGGATCTCGGATCCGCGCCTTCGCCTCGTACACCATGCTGCTCACGGTGTCCGCCCTCTGGTTTTCCGGGAGATCCTGAGAGTGTCGAATCCAATTGAAGTGCAGTAGGACATATATATATAAAGACAGAAGGAAACTTTGTGGGGAAGACTTAACGGAGGCAGTTTACCTGCAACAGTTTGATGATGTTGCTGGCACCGAACACGCGATGCGCGGTGGTGAACTTGAGCGGCTCTGTCGGCGGGAAATAAGGCGCGAGAACGCAGTTGTCGGCGCATCGCCGGCGGAGGATCTTGCAGGCGGCACAGGGGCTGTGGATGACTACTGTCGTCGGAGTGGCGGGGAGGGACGGAGTCGCTGAGAAGGGAGAAGTTTCTGGGGAGGAAGAAACGTGATGGAAGCCGGTGGTGGTTGTGTCGCTGGAGTCCATGGCAGGAGGTGGAAAGAGGGAGGAGAGAATAATATGGACTCTTGAATGGAGATGGTGGCTCGTTCTTGCCCCGCAGAGGAGATATATAGGGAGGGGGAGACTACGACGCCATTGCTGACGGATATGACGTCAGCAGGTTAGAACATTTGCGTCAGATCCCGGTCTGCTGTGTAGTCTCAGCAGGCACAAATTTAGCAGAGGCAGAGAAAATTAGAATCTCTCTTATTAGTTTATTGTCTGTGTATAATAATTATTTTGACATAAATTAATTCAGGCAGGCATTACGCACATCTCACTAGAATATGACTCGACCAATACGGTGGATGTTGTTAGTTTGACAAGTCCTATGATCCCACATCGGAAAAATCATGCTTATTATCTCTTATTGGAACTATAAATAAGGGCTTGAGTTTTGAAATCAGATACACCACGTGGCACCATAAGAAAAACCTAAGTGTTTACTTTGAGTTTAAATCTACACTCAGTTAAATAGTTTAGGCTTTGAGGTTTTTTTTTTTTATTATTTTCGGGTGTTTTATGGCCTAGGAACATTTTCCTAAGGCATTTGTAATAATCCCTTTTATAGTAGTGATTTGCTCCTCTTTCATCCGTGGATGTAGGTAAAAGTCAATTGACCGAACCACGTAAATCTGATGTTCTTGTCACTTTTATCTTTTCCGCTTTATTATCTTTGTTGGGTTGTTGCCAAAATTATCCTTTGATAAATTTTCTGGGACTAGTTCTAACAAATGTGAATTCGAGATGTCAGTTCAAGTATCGGAAAAAGCCTTTTACATCCAATAATGTATCGATGGAGCCTCGTCAATTTTTTACTATTGATTTTGACATGAGAAAAAGTGATCCTTAAATCAAAATGAGAACTTTGTGCACACGTTTGCATCCTCATCAACGAGCAGAATCGATCACCTCAAACACAGCTTCCATGCATGAGACTAGGTCATCCCCTACTTTCCAAGTACTTTGTTCTAACAGCAGGTCATAGCCTTGAAAGGTAGAACATTCCATTTCTCCAATTGAAGGGCCACGAAATGAACTGTGTGCAATGTGGAAGACTAAGCAGCGGCGGCGGCATCGACCGATGGACCAATTAGCCCATCTGAATTGATTGCGCCATCGTCGTTGCAGTGCTGAAAACGTTGCGCTTCCAAATGCTTGCCGACCTTCATAAGCGGAGACTTGGAATGGGTCGTGTCGTCGTCGTCGTCTGCCGCAAGTTTCCAGCAGTGTGTGGGGTGCGAGTGAAGCTGGTGCCGCATGCACGCGGCGCACAAGAAAGCAACCTTCCATGGAAACCCGCATCTATCAGAGCCTCCGTTCATTGTTGAGGTTGGAGGAAGTCTTTATTTGCTGTTTTTTTGTAGTGTGTGATGGGAGATGTGCTGTACGAGTTTTCCCACCTTATAGCTAATTAATGTCTCATTTTTTATGGGTACAAGAAATTTTCCTACGGTTTCAGCATTAGTAAAGAGTGTTGTTCTCTGTATCAAACACACAAAGAAGGAGAGAGATTTGTAATTAATTTTAGATTATTTCAATTTTTAATTAATTTTGTTATCAATTATTTTGATCTTACTTAATGAGATAATTGATCTATCAACTTCGTTAATCTTAAATAGATATATCATTATAAATTAATTGTTAATACTAGAATAATCAAAGTGTTATATATCTCCAGTTAGACGAAAAAAAATGAGGATTTCTTTAAATTTTTAGATGATATTTTTCTTATAAAATACCTTACAATTTATCCGATTATAATATCTATCTTCTTCCAAGATATCTAAAATATTCTCATCTTGCATTTTTAAAGATATCGAAATCATGAGTTCATCGAAGATGGTCATATCTGATCGGTCCCACTCTTACTTCTTCAACCTTTCAATAATAGTCCACATCAAATCCACGCAGGCCCACACGGCAGTCACTGTTGCTGGGATCTTGGCAAGTTCCCACTAGCTCGGTCGGTCCCGGAAATGGATTGGGAAGCGATGGAGATTATATGCTCCCAATACTGCTGCAGACATGCGAAGCTTTTCACCATCTTTCTATTGCTCCCTGCGCTTTCTTTGTATCGCAGCACCTGTCTCTCTCTTCGGTTCCTTCATTCAGACAGGATGGCGTACTGATGATGATGCCGAGAGAACTCTCTCTCTCTCTCTCTCTCTCTCTCTCGCTATCGTTTGCTGATTGTCAACCTGGAAGGTTGGACGGCACTTCTCCATCAAAGCCAACTTGGCCATCATACCACTGTGGACTTCGTCGATGAGGTTTCGTGATACCTTGATACTCTTACGACGAAGAGGAGGAGAGACACTTTGAGGTGGAATATCCGATCCAACTCAGTCTAAGCTTGAAAAAGGCAATTGATGATCTGCATCAATCAAGGTCATTGGTTTTGGACCAAACTAATTCATGTTGTGAATACATGTACATTGCCTCGAGACATTGTAAGTTAGCTGAAAGATAACTTCATGCATGGATCCCCTATGCATGAATGTATCTATTCTTCCCTTTTCTTTCTTTTTCTTTTTTCTATCTTTAAAAATAATAAACTTTTTTATAAAAAAAAAAAAATAGAAAAAATCCTAAGAGAAAGAGTATCCTTAAGAACATTACAACAAGTTGGTCATAAAATAAAGGTAGAGTAAGATATGGATTCTTCTAGATTGATAGGTACACTTATGTTAAAATATTATATTTATATATAAAATTATGTATCCAACTTCATCATGGATTCGATTTTAGGTATAAATTATATTGGATAAGATTTCGAGTGCTTAACCCGATGAGTGAGAGTATATCACTACCAAAGTAATATTTTAAGTACTAATTTTTTATAAAATAATTTAAAACTTATCAATTTACGAGGGATTATAATATCCATCTTCTTCTGATTTATCTAAGCAAGTAAGAGAAAGAATATCGTTTGAGAGAAACAAAGTAGTGGCCAAAACACTACGAGTTGGTCAAAAAGTATAGATAGAAATGGATATGGATTCTTATAGGTTGATAGGTACACTTACTCTCAAATATTATATCTATATATAAAGTTTTGTATCTAACTTCGGTCCGATTTTAAGTGTAAATTATATCGGATGAAATTTCGAGCTCTCTACCCGATAAGTGAGTATATCACTACCAAAGTAACATTTTAGGTACTAATTTTCCTTATATTATTATTTTTAACAAAACTTTATTAGAGAAAAAAAAATACTTTTATTATAAAAATATTATAAATATTATATTGTTCTCTCAACCTCTTATTAAATATTATATTCATAAACAATAACATACAAAATATTAAGTGGAGTAGCTTCCACCTACTATACCATACCGTAGCGAACAAAGTAAGAAGCAAAGCTTCATGATCTTGACAAAGAATATTCTCAAAGAGTTACATGGATTCATGAAAGCTACATCATTTCTCTGTATATGATCACAAAATGATCATAAAGTTATATTAGATGTGAGCTAAGCTTCATTTAGAAAGAGGAGATGACCATGTCATCAGTCCGAACAAGTACCGATCTCATGGCTTCAACACTCTCCATTTCTACCAGTCCACAATTACATTACTCCTCCTATGTGCTGTGTGACACTCTGGTGCTAACTACACTACAAGGGAGAGAGTAGTTTATTTGCAAACACAAACCCATGCATTGGTTTCTCTTTTGTTGTTGTCCTGCAACAAGTGGCACATAGAAATTGAGGTTAAGCAGCATTAAATTGAATGGGTTGGCTTGCTTGCTTCAAACAAAAGATCACAAATTAGGTGGTGCCTTCACATCCCACCAGCAAATTTGCTGCTCCCCTTGGCCTTTATACTTTCTTTAGCTTCAAGAAATGACTTCATGCACTGCAGCAAAGGAAAGCAGAGACAGCTTCTCTATTGAGGAACAGAAGTGAGATGAAGTGGGTGACTAATAATGATAGCTCAACCAAAAGGCATCATCACCACCGCACAGCAAGCCTTAGCCAATTCGACCGTTGTGCTCCCGCGCTTTTAAAACTGTCACCAACCGCAACCTTCCCCCTTCAACTCCGCCCCCATTATTAAGTAGTAGAACTCTCTCTATCTGTTCCCCGTCGCGGTTGTCCCCTCTTTGCCGCCTCCTCTTTGAGCCAAATCCTTAAGAGGAACGGAACATGGGCTCGTTCGACCGACCGAGGAAGAGGATCCAGCTGTGGAAGAAGGCCCTCATCCACTTCGCCTTGTGCTTCGTGATGGGCTTCTTCACCGGCTTTGCCCCCGCGAGCACCGCCTCCATCTTCTCCCGCCGTATTGGCTCCTCTGACCGGCCGACGAAGCCCGTGCCTGCCTTGGAGAAGCTCGCCGACCCTGGCATCGCCAACCGGAGCATAATGGCTGAGATTCCAGTGGGAGAATCTCCTGAGCCGCATTTGGATCGGCAACTGATCATCATAACGACGACTCGCTCCGACGACAGGCTGCAAGAGGCATTCTTGAGGAGACTGGCCTGCACCTTGAAGCTGGTGCCCCCGCCGCTGCTCTGGATCGTTGTCCAAGCCCGTGCCGCAGCCCCCGTGACGGCCGAGATGCTGAGGAAGACCGGCGTCATGTACAGGCACCTGACGTTCGAGAAGAACTTTACTGACCCGGCGGCGGAGGCCGACCACCAGAGGAACGTGGCGCTGAATCATGTGGAGTATCACCGGCTTGCCGGGGTCGTTCACTTCGCAGACGCATCCAACGTCTACGATCTCGAATTCTTCGAAGAGATCAGACAGATTAAGTATGCGTTCTCTCCCATCTGCATCTCCTCTGCCTTCTGTCCTCATTTTGTTACGACTTCAAGAACACCCGATTGCAGTTTGGTATCGAAAGGAGTTTGCAGCATTAGCTGAGATCCTCCTCCTGTGCTACATCGAAATGCTTCTCTTGACATTTCCCTCCCCGTAGTAAAAGCTCTTCTGATCAACAAATGCAGGGTTTTTGGGACTTGGCCATTGGCGACGGCATCGGCAAACAGGAGGAGAGTGGTGGTGGATGGGCCGGTTTGCAGCTCTTCCAAGGTCGTGGGATGGCTCTTCAAGGACTCGAGCAATGACAAAGCCACTGTTAGGAGTCCGATGACCGATGCCGACATGAAGGGGAAATCTCTACAGATCGACATATCAGCCTTTGCGTTCAATAGTACGATTCTGTGGGATCCTGAGAGATGGGGCCGCCCCACATCGGTGCCCGACACATCGCAAGTTAGCATGTTGATTGTTACTTGATGAGCTTTATGTCATTTCATTGTCTCACCATCTCTCTAGTAGACAGCAGCCTCTGCCAAATACTGCCCAAGGGAGCTAATTACCAATTGCCACCATTCTGTAACTTTAATCTTTTGTGGCAGAACTTGTTGATCCCCTCCTCCTCCTCCTCCTCTCTCTCTCTCTCTCTCTCTCTCTCTCTCTCTCTCTCTCTCTAAATTCTAAACCATTGATATATTTCTGGTGATTGCAACTGCAGGACTCAATGAAGTTTGTCCAAAAGGTAATACGAGAAGATGACATCAAGTTGAAAGGCATTCCTGCTGATTGCTCCAAGATCATGCTGTGGCATCCTTACAGACCAAGGGTCATCCCTCTGCCCTTCCAAAATCCAAGGTAAAGCTAAATAAGAACCATAGAGACCACCCATTGTTACTTTGCCCTTTTCTTGTAATCATCCTCTATTTTGATTGAGGGTATCAGTCATCTTCCAAGCAATATTATTTATTGCAAGTTCCTGAAGTTGCGCTGTTATAAAGTAAGAGAGAGAGAGAGAGAAACAGAACGGGTGGGAATTTATTGCTTGTTGACTGGTGTCAGATATATATAAGTAGACTCTCAAGGCATGTATAGGGGAAGGAAATCTAAGTTAGTATGTGATCCAAGAATTGTCTTATAGCAATAATGCAATACAAGATGATTGAAGAAGATTATATATTTTACTGAAACTGCCTCTTCAATAGTTGAAGAAAAGTCGTGTTGGCCTCCTGTGTTAGTTTTTATTTATTTAATCTTTCTCAGTGCATTTTAAATATTACACTCAATCACAACATTGGATTTGGGATTTATTACATTATTGTAACTATACTGTACTCTTCTACATCTACATTCATGTCCATACTATTGTTGAAAAATTAAGATAATCACAATATCTATAGATCTCCTTTTGTATATGTCCATACCATTGTTGACTTGTTGAGTAGCATCAACAAGTCAACTCTTGCCTACAAAGACTCGAAGAGGAAGGATACAATTAAATTTCTATTCTCCAAAAAAACAGATCTTCAATCATCATATAATGCTGAACATTTAGAAAAGATCACAACGTCAAGTATGAAACCTAGTTATCAGAAAAGCAGCAATAACTAGCATCAACCATTATTGGTTTTATTTTGGTACATTACCTCAATTAGTTGCAACTAGAACATATTCCAAGCAAAAATAAAAAGGGTCAAAAAAAGTACGGCAAAGCAAATCATTGCTCTACAAGTTCAAAATGAAAAGCACAGTGACAACAGTTCTAAAGAGTTTTGTATATAGAAAGTCAAAAAGCAGACTAACATGCACTTGGAGGCCTACTTACCAGAAATCACAAGAACACAAACAAATCTACCAAAAAATCCATTTCTTCCTAACTGCATCTCCTTTAGGCTCTCCTTGGATGTTGCCAGGTTTCCTTTTCACAATTCCCCAGTTTAAAGCTTCCAATCTTCTTCTGCACATTAAAACAAAGTCTGAAATCAAACAATAGCAAAAAACAAAGAGTAAATAGAGCTTTGGTTCTGATACAGATGACTATCAGGTTTAGAAAACTTAAGTCTAATCAAATCTACAAACCTGCAGGAGCATAGAATTGTATTTGTATCCAAGGTGGTAACCTATTCCCTTGGCATCCAATCCCAAGAATTGTACATATACCCACAAGTCAAACAACTTTGGAACTCACTAAGTATTAGATATTTGATGTCAACTGAGACAACGATGTTAAACTGAACTCCTGATTCTCAAAGGTTTTTACATTTTATATTGTTTTTATTCTGATAACATCACATAAGATAGAGTGACATGACATTATACATGTCAAACACACACACACATACGAATGGTGGATGAACTCCATATAATTGTGATGTCAAATCATATGAAACACATCTTAATAAAGAGAATTCATAAATTGTAGAAAACATGAGTACTTAGGATCCTCAAGACGTCCATGCAAACTCCAGCGCTGGTGAAATCGTTCCATGATTTCAATTCCACTTGCAAGAATCATGTGCCTAAAGAAGAGCATAGGATGAATGAAACTTCATACTTAGCTAGTAACTATTGCTTTGTATTGTAGATACTGGATTTTCTTCCAACTCTAAGATACACTGAGCAGACATTGCCGAGATTCTACAAGGACATTGTTTTCCTAAATATAAGCAGTTACTAATCAAGAATGTGCACTTTGACTGAATACATAATAGGTCAGTAAAGAAAAGAAAGGGTCACATAGTTTTGCCTTCCTTTGGCTCATATCAGATTAATCCAAAAAGTTGGACAAGCAGAACAAGGGGTAGATTAGATAAAATGTCAATCCACAATTTTTTGTAGATACAACAGATGCAATTCTGGCTACTTAATTGACTGTGATAACATAAATGTTCCATGAGAACCTACATGAGTGACACAATAAAAGGTATTTTCATTTTTCCATTCTCCATAAGGTTGTTGACCACCAAGTATCAAAAGACAATAGAAGGTAAAAGATTGCACCTTTCCAAAGATGTAACCTCCAATTGGAGTTCAGCAGCTCTTTCCTTTGCTGCAGTAAAGGGCATGGACAACCCCAACTTATGCTCACTATGTAAGAGCCTCTGTCTTAACTACTTATCCTGTTAGCATTTCAATCCAAATTGACAAGCCAAGTAGAAAGTTGCAAAAACCAGTCCAATTTCCGTAAAACACAAAAATACATAAATGTGACTGACCCTTTTCTCAGCACACTGTTGATACAAGACAATCTCATCTTGGCAAAATGGCTCGATATTGTTGATTTCAAGCCGAAGGCATTTACTAAATGACTTTCCCTTTTATTTCCAAAATAAAGATCACCGACTTGATAGCAATCATAGTTCTTTGGAGACAAGATGGCCCGTAGCACTCGCCACTATAGAGTCATATGAGATGATCTGCCATCACTTTAATAAGAAAAGATTCCTTAAAACTCCATCACATAAGTCAACACCTTCAAGAACATGAGATGCGATCTCAGGGGGGATGATAGGTGAAGGAAGCCCCAGCATAAGGTCATCACCTAGTAGGATAGTTTCTTCCATGGTTGGCTGTGAATCAACTAAAGCAAAATAAAGAGGAGACATTAAAGCAATACAACAGTAAAAAATGCTCTTTCAGGAGGCATCACCAACTATTACAAACTAGTAGAGTTCTAACATGTACACTGGTGTAAAAACAGAAACACGATAAGGAGTCAACATATTATATTTTATATAGCAGCTAGCAAAAATAGAAATCACAAGATAGTATATATACACTATACATAATTCTAGATTATGGATTCAATAAGACATCAACAACAACTGAACTATGTAATTTGAATTGGCTACCAAGATAACCTCATAAGACATTATTAAGTTACCAATACAATACCGTGACAAAACTTGATAAGACAAAGCATAGATACAAGAAAAGAGAAGAACCAGATGAACCATAATTAAATTTATTTTGATTTGAGAACCAAGAAGACACAAAACATCACATCAATTTTCATTTCATAGGCCCATTTCTTTTTATATGGGCCCCCTTCAAAAAACTTAATTTTTGCAAATACTAAGGTTAAGATGATAAAAACAATGTTCAATAACAAACCTTCTCAGTAGATGCCTGGAGCAATGATTGCTTCAACAATGTTGTCCAACACAAGGCGTCAGTTACTAAAGTTCATCCCGATATAATAAGAAGATCCTTTATTTTAACATAATTTACCAACCTAAGACACTTGAAGATCGACTATTTCGTATCTTGAGACAATATTCTTCTTTTTTTTTTCTAATATTTGTATATTGAAACAAGTTATTAAAGAGAATATGATCCATTCTTTTGTGGATAGACCCCATTGATGTGAATCTAATAGTAGCAGTTTTACAACTATATCATGCATAGAAGTTACCAGAAAATAGACGAAATGGAGAGAGCTTACGATCCGTGGTTGCTCAACTGGTATGTGTCCCTCCTTTGGTAGTGAAGATACCTCTAAAATTGATCCAGATACAAATTATGTTTGATGTCGAAGAATTGCCACAACAGAAACAAGATATTATAAGTGAACATCAAAGCAGTGATCAGTGATATAATCCTAGTACTAATAAAATAGTATACATAAACTCACAGCAGTCATCCTAAAATCCAGTTCAATATGATGAGTCAGTCATCTTCCATAACTGTGAACAAACAAGGTGTCTTTCAAATATGGAAACCCCTACTGAGATGAGGAGTCAAAAGTCAGAGGGAGTCAATCACATAAACAAACTGACACACAACAAATGAATGATGTGGAATTACTAAAGTTTTAATGTTTGATTGATATATATATATATATATATATGCAATTTTGCCTTAGTTTCCCCTTCCAATTTGGTCAAAAAAGCTGTTCTTTGTCGTATTTAGTTTGACCCCTCAAGGTATTCTTCTTCTTCTTCCTCTTTTTATTTGTGTCTAACCACCTCTAAGGCTATAGTTTAAAAAATAACATGGAAAACAACAAGAGGTCTACATGGCATGGTCGAGATACTCCTTTCAAGTTCATACACATCTATATTATTTATACTATCCAAACAGAAATCCTTTAAAGTCTGTACGAGTCTATACTATCAAACTATCAACACAAGTACTTATCTATTATATCTCCTACTTCGGTCTCATGTATAACAGGTTAAAAAACGTGCTATAAACCTACCTGCTGCGAATCAAAACAAACTTAAGCAATATCTAGTCATTATCAGATCTGTGTCTGATATAATCCATACTATTCCAGACCCACACCATATCAAAAAACAAAATGATATTATGCAATCATATTTATTTGAATATGTAAGGTAGTATGATATCCTAAGTCAACCAGAAGATAACTCAGGACATGATATCCCCCTGAAATCTTCAATATATGCCTCCAGGACAAAGCCACAAAGCAAAAGTCAGTCAAAATACCTTGCAGCTGAAAGCAGAGGCAAAGCTTCCTGAGATAAGCATGAAGGTTCAAAAGTATACTAAATTTTAAAAAGAAAAAAGAGCTTGCTTTGTCCTCACACTTCGATATAAAAACTATCACAGAATGCAAATAATGCAACTATGGAGAGTTTCAAGACTATCACCAACATTAGCCACAATAGTTGGGATGGGAATGACCAGCACAAGAATGATGCAGTAGACAACATGAGAAGAATGGTCATGTTTGATCCTGGAATACCAAAAGACACGACATCCTGGAACCTAAATGAAGAAACAAAGAACAGATCGTTGAGCAATTCATCGTAACAAACACACATAAAACTGCTACTCCAATATCTAACATCGAAAGACGATTCTAATACAATGGTCATGTTTGATCTCAGAACAACTAACAATTACCAAGGGATCAGAAGGACGAGCAGAGAGATCTCACCGGATGATGCTCGAATGGGGCGCCGACTGCCAGCAGCCGAGAGGAGAATGGCTGTCATCTCGCCCATCATCAAACAGGTATCGAGCTCCGGCTAGGGCTTCTATCCAGGCCGTCGGATCGTAGCATCTGACGGTGATCATATGAAGCCATCTATTTGTATCAAACGGCTGCCTTCATCCCACGCGGGAAAAGGTATAAAGTCCGAACTTTTATTTTTGAAAAAGTCCAAAGTTAGAGACCAATTTTTTTTTTAAAATTACAAAATATTTTTTTTCAAAAATCCTTGCATAATATTTTTTTAAAATAATGATATTACCCCCTCTCTGTTGACCATTGCTTCCGCTTTACATTATTGTCTCGCTCTCACCTCTTCTTCTTTCTTTTTCTATTTCATTGTTGAGTGATAAGCGAAGAGAAAGGGTCGTGGGCTACTAGCGAGGGTAAAGATCTGGGTGAGGAAAGAGGGGATCATAGGCAAGGGTATATGGGATTATCGTTAACGATAATAGAGGAGAATAAGACAAGAGTAATAAACAAATGGTGAAGACTATAGTTCATGAGCCAGGGCAAGGGCACATAGTTATAAACAAGGAAAGAGGAGGTTACAACATGAGCAAAGACAAGGGTGTATGCCTATAGTTGAGAAAAAAGAGAATCGAGAGCCAGGACGCATTGGTTATTATCGATAACGATAAAAGAAATATAATAACCTAAGGGTGGGGGTTGCGAATAGCAAGTAAGAAATGAACGAGTATAGTTAGAGATAATAACCAGTGCAACAGAGGCAAAGGTAATATCATATTTTTAAGAAAGTAGAAGTAATATACACAAATTTATCAAAACTATTCGTTTTTTCTAAAAATATATTCAAATGAAAGTTATGAAAATTGATAAAAATAACATAAATTTAAAAATAATGGACATAATCTTTAACCAATCGACATTCTAGGTTCTCATATATGAAATAAATTTTTTAATATCTATTATATAATAATATAAAATATATTAAAAATATTTTTAATTAATTGAAATTCAAGTTCTAAGCCTATTGTACACTAGAAAGAAAATAATACTCGTTCTCTCTAAATATATTAAAACAACTAAAATAATTCAGTAAAACACATAAGATATCTATACAGAATGATCTCCTTTTGTCCACTACAACAAGAAGAATGAGATTAACATTAAGCACAATTATTGGGTTTTCTCTAGTAACTTAAATGCATACTTCTCCACCTAATAATGAACAATTCTTATTCTTTGTTTAGTGGGATGCATCAGTTCATGAATCAGTGGGTGAGGAAGAAGTAATGGTGGTACTAACAACTCTTCAAAGTTAATGGATTTTCTTGGTTACATATTACACTACCACTTAATGCTCAAATCACACTGACTAAGAGTTTACAATCTCATTCATTCAATACAAATTTCAAATATATTAGCCACTTTAATGGATAGCCGAATAGAGAAATAATTGATTAAAATTCATAAATCGAGATAATGTAATTAACATGATAATTAACACTGTGTAATTTAAGCAACATCACAAATGGTACCACCCAATACGGGCAGTATGTACCGGTCTGACAACATATCGGTACGTGGACGGTCCGGTACCGTTACAGTGCTGCAGTATTACACTGTAGCAATGTTACAATACTATAATAATAATAAAATATATAAAATTATTCGATACATCTTGGTATACCGCTCGGTACGTCCTGGTGTACCACTCGATACACCGGTACAGTACCATACCAAGCCAATCTCAAAACACCGATACGATACGATATTACATATCTTGGTTTGATCGTACACTCATAATCTTAGATTATGTCCACTACTGACCTCTAGTCCGCAAAGAACTTTAGGTTTTAATAAGCATCATTAACCACATTTTTTTCAGTCACTTGCATAGACTCAGTAGTAAACCATTTACCAACAAACTAATCATTTTTACAACTTCAAGAGCTAACTTTTTCCAATGTTGAAGAGATTCCTCTTGAGATTATTCCCTTCAAGTGTAGGGAGGCATTCTTAGAAAGAATAGATGGATTATGACTCTCAAACAATCAAGCAATAAATATAATTTTCATCCTTAGTTTGTTATAAATATTAGATAAGAAAAAAATGACAAAAATATAAACATAAATATATAATTATACAAAAGCTCAAAACCACTTTTAAAATGATTGATAAGGGCATACATAACATATAATAATATATTTAAATATTAAAATGTATAATAATATATTTAAATATAAAAAAAATTATTTTATGCCACTCAAACTTTAATTTCAAAATGACTGATATAGGATTTAAAAAAGAAAAAGAAAAATCCTTCTAACTTAGTCAAATGAAAACATCAAAATTTCAAGGCACAATAACTATTTGATAGGAGTCACAGTTAATGTTACATGTAAATTGAATAGAGACTCCTAATGGAGTTCGTCAACAGCGACGAGACTATCAAAGAGTCAAAGTGTGATCTATATGTTGACTTGAGACTATCAATTTATAATAGTTTCTTTAAAGCCTTTAAACCCCAAATTCTTTGCGGTAAAAAAACATGTGGACTTTTGTTATTTTTGACTCTAATAAACCTTCTTGAGGAACCTCAAATAGTTCCAACGGGCCTGTATTTATAGCATTATCTTATTATTTTTAGTTAAATCAATTTAATATGCATCACATTTTAAGGTTAGATAATACATGTTACATAATTCGTTGACCAATCAAATCCAATTAAAACCCACTTAACAAGGAGTCAATCTTACTTTCACCAATATAATTAATCTTCTGCTTGATCTTTTGCTCTAAATATTCCTTTTACCTATCTAAATCATTAAAATGTGTATGATTATTTCTCACTTTAGAATGTCTTCTTCGATATATCATGATGACCCTTAAATAATTAATCATTAAAAGAAAAGTATTACCACAAATTAACTTTCTCTTTTCACAATGTTAAAGATACCACTTGGATTAGTCAATCAAATCTTTTAGTTCCATGTGGAGATAAATTCCATTCAGTTCTCCAGCCATAGATTAGACTCCATCAAACGTTAACTCCCAAACTAAGCATTCACAATCCTCAAATTAATTTAATTTAACCCTTGTAGTAAATACTCTCTTAATTGCCATTCTCCACCCTCTCACAAACCTTAACCAATACCTCCAGTAATATTCCGACAAATGGTAAACGATCTCGCCGCATCATTCCATCACCAAATCACATCCGTTCATTTTACGCACGGCCTCATTTGCACCGTGAGACTACGTTAATTTAAAACGTTCCCGAGGGACAGCGAATAGGGATTGAACAGTTGAGAGATCTTGACTTTTTTTTAATGTTTTGTGATTTTACGCATCTATCCTTTCAAAGATATTGGAATAGCGTAAGTTTTAATACTACAAATATATATTTCTGTAAAATTTTGACTTCACATATAAATTCTTCCAAATATTTAAATCATTTATGTAGAACTTTTGTTAACATTTTAATTAATAATTAAGTTAAATATTATTAATCACTATTTTTCACTTAATTAAAAAAAATATCTTTTATTATTTCAAGGGTACAATTACAAAATTTTAGAGTTTTGTAGGGATGTAGATGCTAAACTTTAGAGGAGTGAATATGCAAATAATTAACTTTGGAGGAAGATGCATGCGATTTTACCTTTCTTTTGTTGTAGCAGTGAGCTGCTGCCTCCCAATTTGCCCCCATTTCCCTTGGGAAGGAGACGATCGATCAATTAAAGGCGACACTTGGGCACCTCCCGTCGTCTCTGACGCCCCTCGACTCTGATCTATGGGTTTTCTTCTTCCGCGTTTGTTTGCCTGGAGTTCTTGAGGCGGATCGAAACCCTAATTCCGGAAATGGAATTGGTTGGGAGGACGGTGAAGAAGATATTTCCCGGGTTCGGGACCTTCTCTGGCGTCGTGAAGTCGTACGATCCATCCGCGGGCTACTTCAAGGTGCTCTACGAGGATGGGGACTCCGAGGAGTTGGATTATGGCGAGATCGCTTCGATGCTAATGGAAATGGGCGAGGAGGCGTCACCGATGGGGCAAAATCAGAATAACAATAGGAGCAGGTGGTCGAAGAAGCGGACGAGTGGCGAGCTGGATCTTCCCGAGGACGTTGATCTCGGAAGCGGTAAGGTTGTAGGTGTGAGTTTAATTGGGGAGGACGGGGAATTGTCCGAGCAAAATGGACTTTTTCAGGGTAGTGGCGGGAAAGGTGAAGTTTCAGAGCTCAATGGTGGGGGGTATGAAGGGATCTTGAAGGAAAATGGTATTGTGAGAGTACCTGCAGAAATTACCGGGAACGATGGTTATCCAAAGGAGGAAATTAGCGGAAATGCTTCCTCTGAGGGATTGGTGGAAACCCCTCAGGCGGAGAAGCTGGAGGCAGAAAGTGATCTTGGTGATGCTGATGAGTCTAGTATAGGAGTTGGGAAATTATCGGAACGTAACATGAGGAATGCCTATCAGAAAGGAAGTGAACAAATAAAAGTAAAAGAAGCTAAATCTGAAGACTGTGTACTTGATGGCGTGTATTTGGAAAATCAAAGATGTGACACTACATGTTTTGTGGAAAAGGATGAAGGTGGCCCTCAAAAGAGGCGAAGACTATCTGGAAAAATATACTCTCTGCAAGATATGCCTTTGAGAAGGAGTGCTCGTAGAGCAAGTGCTGCAGCATTATGTCCTTCGGATCCTCTTCACAGCCACATCTTAAAGAGCGAGTCAGAATTTCAAAATTGTCTGTTGGACGAGAAAGATCGTCATGTGGTTCCTGAGGATTCCAAGCCAGAACTGCCACCATCTTCTAGTGACTTGGATTTGAATGGTCTGCCCATTCTTGATTTCTTTTCTGTTTACACTCTTTTGAGGTCCTTCAGCAGGGTTTTATTCTTGAGTCCGTTCAGTCTACCAATGTTTTTGTCAGCTCTAAGGTGTGAATTTCCTAATTCTTTGATTGATCATATACATTTTTCAATCTTACAAACATTGAAGCAACACTTGGAGCTCCTTTCTGAAGAAGGATACCAGCCAGCTACTGATTCCCTTAGGTACTTTCTTATATTTGCTTACAACTTATACCTTTGAAATGTATTAGTGGATTGTTTGATCATTTTAATTTTGTTTAGTGGTTTAAATAGTGATCACAACCTGCTTCTCTTTTCAGGACTCTAAATTGGGAGCTATTGGACTTGGTTACCTGGCCTGTATATCTTGCTGGATACTCACTAATTCATGGTTCAACAATGAAATCTCTTGTCAAGCTTACACATCCAAATATTATGGCTGCAGAGTATTACATGCAGCCAGCTAGTGTAAAGCTTGAGATGCTTCGCTGCTTGTGTGATGATGTTATGGAAGTTGATGGCATGAGATCAGAACTCAATATAAGGTTGACTGACTGTGAAATTAATGTGGATGCCTATAACAATGTTTATAAGAATAGGATCGGATTAGCTATAACTGGTTTGGAGGCCTCTTTGGTCCAGGAGATGCCTGAAGAAACTGCTGATGGAAACAGTGATGACTGTTGTCTCTGCGGGATGGATGGTAGCTTGATATGCTGCGATGGCTGTCCTGCTGCATTTCATTCTAGATGTGTTGGAGTTGCTAAAGATCTTTTGCCTGAAGGTGATTGGTACTGTCCTGAGTGCTTGATGGACAAACGTGATGGATTGACAAAGTTGTCAAAGACTTCACGAGGAGCAGAGGTTTTGGGTATCGATCCTCATGGACGCCTATATTTTAGCAGTTGTGGCTATCTTTTGGTGTATGTTTTCTGCAAAGCTTGCTTGTTCATATCTTTTTTGTTAATATGTTTCTTTACCTTATTTCACATATTATAAATTCTATCTATAATACTTTGATATAGTTCTTTTAGATATTTTTATGGACCATAGGTCCATGTGTTAGTTCTTTATCTGGCTTAATTACATATCATATCTGCTCATTTGGGAATATTCGGTAAGAAGAAAACTTCACTTGCTGATCCAATTGTTCTCTCTCAAGCTGAAGACTTCTTTAAATGTCTTTTTCCCCTCAATTAAATGGTTGTTTCTTTTCTTATCTACTAGGACTTGTAACTGCTAGAACAAGAATCTAATATGTGACTACATGCGAACCTAATTCTAACCAAACAAATTTGAAATTTGACTCAATTAAACTACAATAAGCCAGTAAGATTCATGCTCGTATTGCCCCTTGTCTGAAGTCTATCCTCTTGTACTAAGGAAAGGTCCTCTTGATGCCCTAAATCTTAATTCACATGAACCTTGTCAACATTAGTCAACTAATATAAATTGCATTAATAAACATGTTTAAAAATGATCTTAATGAAATTACAAAATAAATGTAAAAAAACCAGCGAAATACGGAAAACATAGAAAAATAAAAACCTTGATCTTGGACTCAATTTGATCTTTACATTAGACTTGGAATATATTTGACCTCAAATCTGAGGTACTAATAATACTCATCCCCTATTCTGCTGGTATATTATCAACATTAAGTTTCATGCTATGCTAAGAGCATCTGAGCAGTGAGTTTATTGTGTTAGCCAGTGTCCCTGCCATAAAATTTAAAGGTTTTCTTGCACCAGCTTTTCCTGACACTAAGAAGTTGTATTTATTTGTTGACTTTAATAAAAGCTTTTGACCATTTTGTCATTTTCTCTTATTTTATTCCTCGTAGTCTTTCTTCTTGCTGGTTCTTTCTCTCTCTTCAACTCTTTGTGCCTCTGCCTCTTCTATCTATCCCTCACTTTCCCTTACCCTCTTATGATGAGTGCGAACCACCCACAACCTCCTCTTTGGTTCTCTCTCCCTAATTCTCCAGTCTCTTTACCCTTGCATACTCTCATCATTTTATATTTGTCAAGCTCATTGTCGGCTAGGTTGACCCTTCCGATTGGATTGGATAACCAGTTTGAAGATCTAATTTGGACATGGATCAACCTCAGGCTGATCCATGGAGTTATCCAATCTGATTGGATAACCAGATTGGATTGGTTATTGTATGAGTTGGATCAGATGTGGATTGACCTTGCTTCAAATCATTTATAACCCTAGTTGAAAACTGCTCACAGAAATTGCAATTTGCAATACCGTCACTACCTTAGCAGAAATATTGTTTCCTTAAATCATAAAAATATATATGCCTGTTCTGTACTTGGGAATGAATTGCTGCTGAGGTGTGTTCTTATGTAGTTTTTGTAAAGTTATGTTTTGTATTATTATTAATTTTATAGAATTCTCTTAAGTTATTTTCAGTAAAGAATTTGGATTATCTGGAAATGCCATGGTTGTCAATGGCTATCTTGAAAATTGGTGCAAAATTTTCTCCACTCTTTTTCTTTTATGGATGATGATGTTCTAGGTATGATTTGTCTATTATAGTAGGATCAATCTTGTGCTTTTATTTGTTGTGTGAATTCAGTTTATGCAGTAAGTGCATAAAATGTCTGATTAAATGAATAAGAGCCACTATTGTCCTTGGAGGATTTAGGCCTTCATCAGAAGGGGATATAGCTTAGTAATTTTGTACATAGATAGTCAATTGATTTCCCAATCCAAAAGTTCATTAAGTTATTTCAAGGCTGACAAACCCAGAATTATCAGTTTGGCACTTCTGAATTAGACATTAAACTTCAGGTTGCCGGGAAATTGGTCTGTTAAAGTACTATGTAGGCCATATAATTATATAATATAAACTGTTGATATTAATTTAGATGATTCTTATAAAAAATAAACTATTTGTATTCTTTAAAATCACAATTATATAAAAATGTTTATTGAAAGAATTACTTGTACCAAACAACCCAATTCGTTGTTAAGACCTTTTCTATGATGTAATTTAAACTATCTTAACATAAAGATTTAAGGGTCAATCCTTACAGAAGTATACTTTGTTGACTGTGCCATGTTGGTGTCGATGAATACATATGTATATACGTTGTATTATGTCTATCAATTCTGATCTTGTAGACTTGTACTCGTTCAGTTTGAATATGGATTATGACACCTCATGTTAGTCTCAATTTTTAAAATATATGGGGCTTATGGATCAATTCTGTATTTGATGTGATTTAAGCTACTAAGGAAGTGGACATTGTAATCAAATATGTAACTATTTCTATGAATCTCATATTTTCTTTATTTTCTTTCTTATTTCCTATTTTTAGCTTCATGAACTGAGTTTGCCTGGTAAGTTTTCCCACAATACTCAAATAACTCTTTTGTGATGAGTATGCACAACTTTTTGCTGATCAACAAATTCTCAAAAATTGTCTATGTTGGATCTGCAGATCTGATTCATGTGAGAGTGTTTCTTCATCTCATTTTTACAATAAAGATGATCTAGAAATTCTTATCAGAGTTTTGAAATCATCTCATGCTTCTTATACTGCAATCGTAAACACAATCTCTGCGCAATGGGGAATTTCTTTGGATAGCCATAGTTCCATTAGCCAATCATGCCATGAAATTATCAACAGGAATGAGGCTTTAGATTCTCAACTGAACTTATTATCTTCAGATCCAAATGTTGTCAATGATGATATTGTTAAGAATTCAAAGGATAATTGTACTAATTCTGAACATAGTGACCCTATTAGTGCAAATGCATCAGATTTGAGCCAGACAAATCTGGTAAGCTTAGATCATGCCTCTGGGATGTCGCTGTTGTTTGTATCTTCAGAGCCTGCAGAGCAGTTGGCTCATGCTGTGAACTATCTTCAATCAACTCAGCAAACTACGGATAGTTGTTCCATTGCTACTGATAATCCTGTAGATGAAGTTATCTCTGTTACACCTGTTGTTATATCTACTGACAACAGTAAACACTTTGCAATTACTGATTTGGGTGGCACATCATTCATATCCGAGCAAGTGCAAAAGAAGGCTGAGACATGTAAACTACAGTCTGATCCCTGTGGTTACATTAACTATTATATTTTTGGTCGAGTAGCTTCATCTGTAGCTGAGGACTTGATGATTAAATCATCCGAGAGCAACAATAAGGAACCCAAGAAGTCAGATGAGGACATGGTGGTGGCCCAGCTGAAGGCAATTTTTAAAAGATGTCCAAAACTTAGTTCTTATAGCTTCCTACAACAATCTTTAGATATACAAAAGGAGAAGTGTGGTTGGTGTCATTCCTGTAAAACATCCAGCAGCAGTGATTGTGCATTTGTAGTTAATGACAAGCATATTGAAGATATGAAATCAGATGCTGTAGGTCTTGACTCTGAAAAGAAAAAGAAAAGTCACATTGTCTCTGTCATGCATGATATATTGTCAATAGAAGATCATCTGAATGGCCTTTTATCTGGTCCCTGGGATAATCCACACTATAGTAGCCTTTGGCGAAAGGCTGTTATGAAGGCATCTGATGTTGCATCACTGAAACATATGCTTCTTCTTGTAAGTACTGATTGACATTGCACCACTAACCTACCAATGGTGCTAGTTAAGTAGTCAATGTAACTTATTTTTTTTATCTTTGCTGTAACAAGAGGAATAACTATTAACAATTGTCTTTTGCAGTTGGAATCAAATTTGAGGCGTGTTGCAATGTTATCAGATTGGATGAAACCAGTTGATTTTGCTCATACGGTTGGTTCAGCATCTCACATTTTGATTGGTTCAATGGATGCATTTTCAAATTGTGGTGGTAGCAGAAAGCAAGGGAAAAGAACCACCTCTGGCTCTGAGTTTAATATATCCCAAGCTGCTGCTGCATCATATGTTTGTTGGTGGAGAGGTGGACGACTATCCCGTCGGGTGTTCCATTGGAAAATGTTACCTCGGTCATTAACTTCCAAGGGTGGTCGTCAAGGTTAACTTGTGTAATATTGTTTAGAAATTTGTTTATGAAAATTGGATTAAAGATTATTAATGTCTTTTGAATTACAATTTGTACAGCTGGATGTAAAAAGATATCAAATGTCTTTTATCCTGATGTTCCGGAGTTTGCCAGGAGAAACAAATTTATCACCTGGCGAGCTGCAGTTGAGATGTCAGAAACTGTTGCTCAGCTCGCTTTTCTGGTAAGCAGCAAAATTTTGATACCAACAGTCTAAGTGACAATTTTGATATGATATTATGATATTGTTATTTAGTATTTTTACCATGATCTTATTAAGTTTTGTTTTTCACAGACCAAAGAATTTGATTCAAATATTAGGTGGTTGGAACTCTGTAAGACTCCACCTTTTCCTCAGTTGATTAAGGAATCCAAGGGTTTAGCAAGGTTGTTCAAGAAGGTAATAATCCGTAGAAAGAGTATAGAGGGAGCCATTGTGAGATATCTTCTTGATTTTGGTAAAAGGGAGAACATTCCATCTACTGTTATAAGATATGGGGTGATTCATGAAGATCCCTCTAGTGAAAGGAAAAAATTTTGGTTGGGTGAAAATTATGTTCCTTTATATCTTATTAAGGCTTTTGAGGCAAAGAAATTGGCCCGCTCCATTAAAAAGACAGGTTCTAAGTTGCTTTCCCATGATGTAGTTGATTTTGGTTCAAAGAAGCCTGAAAGATCAATAGGACTTTCCTACCTAATATCTAAAGCAGAAAAGATGGAGGCAAAACTTTGTGGACAGTGTAACAAAAATGTGCCAATCAGGTAAGAATTTTTTATAATATTTGTAGTGTACCTTTCACAGTTAATTTTTTATGATTCTTGTTAAAAACTAATTTGCAACTTGGAGCTGTCCTTGATATGCATGTTAAAGGTACACTACAAAATATCATGTAATAGAACGAGCACATGCTTGAAAATTTAAAGTACCTAAATGTACTAGAGCGGGCACATACTTAAAAGTATAGAACACATCTTAACAATACATAACCAAAAAGTTCAAACTATATATGTCATCTCTTATTAGTGGCTCTTACTACTAAAGGGATCATCATTGCTATAGTGAGAGGTGGGTTGTGGTCTGCATCAGTTGTAGATTATAGTTATAGTTTTGAAAAACCCACACATGATAGTTAAAGGGACGGAAAAATGGTTTTATGGATCCTTAGGTTATCATAAACAATTTTTGATATGCATGTTAATATCTCTGAGCAACATTATCTTGAGAAAACATGTAATCCAAGATAAAAAAATTCAGACATTTTAATTTCATGGGCAGTATACTCTAAGGCCATAAACTTGACTCCATAAGTAATGGACTGCAAGATAATGCCACTATTGCTCATACTCTTTTGCTTCCAGCATAGACTGGAAGTCTTAAAGTACAAATTGGAGGTTAGGAGGTGAGGCAAAGCTTCAAAATATTAAAATTACAAAAAATGTTGTGAACTTAGGGTTGATTGTTTTGGTTGGACCAACTGAATTATGGGTGAAAAAGAGAAAATTATCTTGAATCTTAGAAATTGGAATTTGTTTCATATTCAAATAGATAGTATTTTGGTAATCCTGAAATTTCTATTTGCAAGAACATTCAACTTAAATACTTCTAGTTCTAAGTATGTTGCAAGAGTGGCTGATGTCTGCACTGATTTCTACTATCCTGAAACTACACAACTTTCTTCTATGCAGTCAATACTATTACTTATGATATGTGCTTTTTGTATATTGCAGGGAAGCTGTGAACTGCCAATTGTGCAATGGTATGTATTATGAACTCATATATTTATAATTTATATACTTATCACTACAATAATTATGTATGTGTTGATCTTGATGTCTTTGATTTTGTTGTATAAAGTTTCTCCTGATTCCTGGTACACATTTTCTTTTTGGTTTACAGTTTATGCAACTTATCTGTTATATTTTAGTTTATATATTTTAGAGCTTAACATACATATATGTTTGACCACAGATATTGCCCACAATAAATGTTTTTAACATTTATGTTTTTAACATACATATATGTTTGACCACAGATATTGCCCTCAATAAAGCTCCATGGGCCAGAAAAGTTCCATAAAGCTGATCATAAATGATTGGGACTAGCACTGCTAACAGATCAGATATATTATGTAAGAAGTATCCATTATATTAGACAAAGATATTAGTATAGTAGCTAACTATTGCCCATATGTTATACAAAATGATTCACAGCTTCCTACCAATTTTAAAATGAGTGATTGTCCCAGAGCTTGTCCTTGTGACTGTAATTACCAAGGAGGTGAATCACTAGGTCAAACAAAGACAGATAAAAGGACTTTCTTTAGTTAGAGCATTGATCCCTCTTTTATCATGTATGATTATTCCCTTTAAAAATTTGGAGTGATCCTTTTATTCCCTTTTCTCTATCTTTTCCTCTTTTTATTGTTCAACAATTGATTGTTAACTTGACGACAATGAAATGTCTCCTTGGCTTGGCGGCTATATTCGTTTTTTTCCATCTTTCCTCAACGTCATTCCTGATTTGTTCTCCTTCCTCTCTTGTGCCTACAACATTTGGTAGTCATCGATCTCTTCTTACACCTCCTTTCTTTTTCTAATGAGATTTGACAAAATTTTGTGGGAATTGGCTAACTCCAATAGATCCAATCAATTTTTGTCTATCTCGACCATTTCCATCTGTGTCTAGCAACGAGGTTGAGAAATCAACCAAAATCTGTTGCACCTATATGCTTAATTGGTAAAGATTAGACCATATGTATCAAAAGCACTCAATACCGTAAACCAGTGTTTTTAATTTCGAATAATACCGGGCGGTACATATCGGTCCAATAGCATACCGGTACGCGGACCGCTCGCTATAGGGTGGAACGCTCAATGTTGCCCCGTATCGGATGATACGGGGGTATACCGGATGGTAACGATCAAAATTTCGACTGTTACCGCCCGTCACAACTCGATAACGGTCGATTTCGATCGTTACTGCTCGACATAGCTCGGTAATGGTTGATTTCGACCATTACCGATTTGTAACAGTGCTCGAACGGTCATTTTGACCGTTGGAGCCTTTCTCATGGGTTTTTATACTCATCTTCTCCCCTATTTCACTCTCACACTCTTTTAAACTACTTCAAACTCATTTTTTCTCACATTTATACTCTCCTAAACTCTACCAAGTAATGATTTGTGAATTGACAATTCAAGTGATTTTTTTGTAGATAATTCAATATTTACAGAAGAGCAATCCGTAATGGACCGAAATACAAACCTTGGACAAGACTGTTCCTCAAAGTCCGAAAAATATGTGATATTATTCTTACCTAATTTGCATTGGTTTTGCTAAACATATACTATTACTATATTTATTTCTAACTTAAAAAATCCTATCCTAACTTTTTTTTTATTTTCAAATATTTTCAAAGGATTTTATGCTTAAATAAGGTGTACCACTCGGTACACCCTGGGGTACCACTCTGTCATGCACTTAGCTGGTTTTGCTTAAGTCGTGCAGCACCCTTGCTTGTCCGTTCGTAAAGGTCAGCCTCCCTAAAACCTCCTATGGTCCCTTATGACCTACAAAAGAGAAAACGAGTTAGAGAAACTATCTCACTCGAGATCCACAAGTAATCATTTCAGTAAACACTTTATAACCAATGCAAATTACAAACATACTCTACAAGCTTTAAACGGTCGCACAACAAAGGGTCCAAAATGGTCCACTACAGATCGAAATCCCGATAAGTGCCCACATTACACAACCTTTGTTTGCAAGCTTAGGATGACCATCAAAACCAAAGAAAATGGGGCTGCTAAGCCTACTACTAGCCCTTTATATGCTGTGCAAAGCAAGGTCTGCCATACTGAAGTGTATCGCCCGTACCGGGCGGTACGTACCGGTCCGACAGGTTACTGATACGCGGACCGCTACAGTGCTATAGTATTTTACTATAGCAGGGCTACAGTACTATACTGTAGCACTGCTACAGTATAAAAAAATATAAAATTATTCGGTACACCAGGGTGTACCGCTCGGTACGCCATGATGTACAGCCCGGTACACCGGTACCATACTGTACCGAGCCCGGGTTGAAACGCCGGTACGGTACGATACGGCGAACCTACTGCAAAGCATAAACAAAACCGAAAGATACGGACATACATCAACATTACATCGAACATCCCGTTTACAATTTTTTCCGTGACATTCTCCATGACTTATTCTTTCGACGTCCTTGTCGAAGCTCTTGCTGAAGCTATAACTCCTCGCCTTTGCTGAGTCTTTAATTTTCTGCTCCAGTTGCAATGCACCTCTTGGTCCCCAGCTGCTTTTCACTGCTGTTGTTGAGTAGTCGAACTTTTAATCCACCATGCTGCTTTAACTCGTCAATGACTCTGACTTTAGTGTGGGGTAGGCCGAGTTGTGTTGATCACCGTTGGTTCCTGTGGATCCTTCAGATGAAGGAAAAGACCATCCTTAGTATGCGTCGGTCTCTCAAATGGCTCATGTCGCTTGAACTGGGTGAATGCCTGTTGGAGCTTTAATGAGCATCGCCTCGCAAACTTTTGAAGTTTTTGGGTCATTCCTCCACAAAATTTGCCCATTGACTCTTCTTTCACTTAGTTGTCACTTCCAAATAGGTTTGCATAACTTCCGCTTTCAATTGGCATTCTGTTGGGAAATGAAGCGGATAATCTACTCTCAAAAGCACTGATCACCATTGGTGAGGATTTGACAACTATTGTCTTCCATTTGGTTTCTTCGAAGGGTCTTTGAACATATGCAGAGCTCCTCTGCTAGATATATAAGAGAATTGGGGTACTCGATTTCGCCCATTCTCTTAAGAGTTGAGAAGGCAAATGTTACTTTGATTTCGCTCGCCTCCTCGAGGGTTGTATTCTATGCATCGAGCTGGTTGCTAACCTTTGCCCACTCTTTGCTCACACTTCTAGAGCACTTGAAGTGTTTGCACTCTTTGCGTTGAGTTAGCTACTGTGATTCACCTTCTCAATGCCATCAAACTTCTGGAATGCAGGAAGTTTTCACCTCAACTTGGAGTAAGTCTCTAATAGTTTTGGTCGCCTCTGGGATTGTATCGTCTTCTCCATCATCCCAACCGCCTACTTCGCTGAGTAGCAAAGGTACAGCACCGCGTACTACTTGCTTCGTTCCTTGGTCGTACACTCTTGCATCAACTTGAAGTCCTCCACTTTTGGCTATCTTGATGAGAAGTTCGTTAACACCAGTCTTGCGAAGTTCCCTAGCCTCTATCCTTCAGCCTTGTCTCAGTACTTGGAGTTTGCCTCTGCATTCTCTACCTCTTCGGCCCCTTGCACGACCAAGCGCTCTCCCTCCATGAGAGCAAGGGATCAATGACTTTATGGAAGTCCTACCTCTGCGGTACTATGGCGCTGCCATACCCATGGCCCTACTGTCCGTCGCCTCGCATCTGCATCCCTTTTTTCGCGATCGGTAGATCTGCCTCTGTGGCACTCCTCCGAGTCCACCTCTATTCTAATCGATGCTTGGTTTTGGATAGCTAAGTCCCTCTGGACTTATCGTCGCTTCCTCGCCCCTTTCGACGCTCTGCTTCAACACCTCTGTGTTCTCCAAGCAGTTCCCCTTGGTTGATGGAAAGACAGATTGCAACTCCCATGCATGGCCTCTGCCATCATGTTACAGGGTTCACATTGATTCTATTCTCCTTAGCTTCCTTGGTAGCAACGTTCGCTTACTCAGCTTTGTCCTTTGACTTGCCGGGCTCCCTTAAGCGAATATGGGCTTCGGAGCAGTTCAACTCTCCAACCGCTTCGATCATACCTCTGTATGATCAAGTCCCTCCCATGGGACTCACTGGTACTTGCATTCGAACTTTTCCCTCGATGGTACACAACCCCTATATGCTGATGACCAAGGCTTTCATCCGATGCAAAATTTGATACACGCACAGAAGACTCGCCTTTGCGGTACCATAGTTTTCACTCCTTGAATCCATAGCCCTTGTTGTCGTCGTGTTGTTCACTGAAGTGGATCTCTCAATAGCTCTCGATCATACCTTCGTATGATATTGTCCCTCATGGGACTCGATTCGTGTGTATCGCATTGCCACGAACTGTTCCACAACGATCTGCTACACCATGTCGCCTCTTGGTGATATCTCCATTGCATTCTGATCCTTGTGGGATGAACTTGGATTGTGATCCCTCCATGTGTGGCCTCTGCCAACACATCACAGGACCTCTTCCATCTTCGATTGTGTTTGCTTCTTTGGCAATCGACCTTCGTCCACCTGCTCTCGAGTCACACCTAGACGAAACACCGCTCTAGGACAGTCCGTCGCCTAGTAGCTCCCGAAGTCTATCGACTTCGTTGAAATTGGTGTACCATTGTCTGGATCCTGGGCCTTTGCCCCTACCAGCACAATCTTCACTATGCACCACTTCCTTCATGGTAACTTGAATAGCAGTACTATGGCATATTCTTCAAGAGTACTTGCCTCCGCGTCCTCTTGCCGCGTGCTAAGGCCTTCTGAACCCAATTTCGCCTCGCAAGTTGAGTCGCTTTGGCTCCTCCATCAAATGCTTCTCCGAGATAAGGTGCATGTGCCCAGAAGCTCCCTTCGTCTTTGACACCATGCAAGATGAGTCCGCTCCATCAGAATGAAGGATCCATGGAACGACATGATCCCGTTCTTGCCTCTGCAAGAGTTTATATCCTTGATTTTTGTCTAAGGAAAGCTCTGTGCCTTCGCTCCATGTTCCA